TTTGTTCGCTAAGCACTAAATCAAATTAACAAAAACGATTACGTAATAACAAGTATTATATTTGTGTACAAAGATTGAAACAAAGATAATCAATCGACTTACATTTGTGTATTTTATATAATAACTGTATGTCAAGTGGAAAATAACAAAGTTGTATACTTTAGGTGATTAAGCAATATAAATACATAGATGGAAGCAGGTTAGCCAGTACATGCGACCATTCATGTTTGTTGGGCCCTAATTAATTAGACTTGGGTCCACGGAGCGAGACGCCCTTTGCCCCTCTGACCTCCATTCAAGTGTCAAGCGCTCGTGCAAATTACACCGTCATTTCACAACTAATTACTATGATGTTAAAAATATATTTATTATACATGGACGAATTCTTCTTTACATTTGGATTAAGTATAAGGTTAACATTTAAATTATTTTCTTGCAGAAACAAAGATACTGTTTTAATTAAATATCTTTACGCCGTAATTATATTTTCAAATGATATTAGTGTTTGATGTTGAAGTGAGATAGAAAAGAACCCGTCTCTTGGTAATCTTCTATACTACAATAATTAATGAATGTTCGTTAAAAAAAGAAAGATGTCAAAGGAATTTCTAGTTATTCCGGAAACTTGATGAGAAATATATAAAGTGTTCATTTTTATTTGTTCACTCTGTACATCGTCGATACTAAGAGGATAAATAAGTAATTCCTCTAAGCGTGTAAAGTACATTCTATTAAATTATATTAGCTTTTTTTTGATTATTTCATATTAAAGGAAATATTCATACTTATATCATGTTTTATTACATGTCATATGATAAAACCGCAAAATGAATAACTTTATTAGCTTTGAACATAATAATAATTACGTTCAAATGTATGTACGTATTATAATATACATAGTTCGCTGTCCGTTGATTAACATAACTATGTTATGTGATTAAGTGTGAACACAATTCACAGCAGAGATGAGATCTATCGCAGCTGTTGTAATTGCTGCTTAACACTTTCACTGCAGGTATGAAGCACTTATTCGCTTTTGTCTCGAAGATTTCTCAAAAAGCCAAGTCATAATCGACCTCTGCTCTGAGCGAGTGAAATGACGTAAATTAGCAGCAAATTGCAGGCTCTCAGACGACACCCACTCCTCCGCCCTCCACTGCCCTCCACCGCCCTGTGCCGCCCTCCGCCGTCAGGGCTCGCGACGAGTGTTACATCATTGCGCGAGGTAATTCCTATCATTAAAGTTTCCAAAGTGTACTTCACCACATACTTTGTGTCTCATGCAAAGAGCAGGTCGTCATTATGTTCAGTTTTACCCCCTTTATGCTGCTTATTTACTATGTGTAAGAAAATTAATGCCTAATGTACGGTTATGTAGCTACGATACGGGTGTTTGACATTTTCAAAATGACACGTTTATTATTACCGATTACAGCAGTGTCCCTCCCCTCCCCTCCCGCCCTCCACTTTCATGGTAATTGTAATAAAATGATATGCCAGGTATCATAACTACAAACAAATAGTACTGGCCGAGTGATTAGTTTGTTCATGCAACCCCTATTTATGTGACAGGTAAGTACATTTCTAATTGGTTGACATTGAGCTAAGTTAAACAACGTATTTATCATTTTCATATGCGTAATTTTCAATTTTTAAAAACAATATTTTTTAATAGATACACAGCTTGCAATTCCAAAGCAATATTTATACAAATTCAGTGGTGGCGCTGGCTTCTGGCTTGTTACAGAGTCCTTCTCTTCTCTTCACTTATGTCAGTGGTTTAAAAGTCATAACTAATTCGTTTAATAGTGTATACTTATATTAATTGACGTGCGAGATATCACTGTTAATTCTAAGAACCGATATCATATTTAACTCTTAATGCGTAAAAACAGGTTACATTAACTTCATCAAAGTGACTTGCGATTATAACCACGCACAAAAAGATAAGGTCGTTTGGTTAAAAAAATATCCATAATGTAGATATAATATTGGCATTGCGCAGCGGAAACTCGTCAATGTGACGTAGCGGAGTGCGGCACAATAGCTCCGGTCTATCAGGCTGATTGACGCTGCGTCGCCTCGCTTCGTGCCAAAACGAAGAAAAATATGGCTTTGGAGGCTTTATTAAGATTGATAGACGACGGTGACGAGCCGCGCCCGATCAACTTTACATTGCACAAATATGGACACGTCTATTATCATTTAGAAATAAATAACATTTGGAAAAGCAGACCGATTAAGGTTGGCGATGATTCTTTGTTTTTTATGGAATTATTTGAATGACTGACAAGGCGTAGGAAGCGTAGAGCTTGGTCGACCGGAAAGTTATAGCTGTGCAATAATCGTTTTAGTATTTCTATTAGAGAGAATGAAGATGCATAGAAGCCCAGTAAGAAACTACTTTTGATATATCATCAAAAATTTAGAAAAAAGAAACCGTTTTTTTCATGTTAAATCTATAGTTTAGCCTATAATTGTGTTTACTTCAAAGGTCTCAGTAACTACAAGGATTTCAAGAAGTCACGAAACATTTGAAGTTGCTGTTTAATAATTTCTATTTATATCTCAGTTTTAAACTAAACACAGATTTAAATTATTTTGATTTTTCTTCCATAATTATTCAACAGTCCCAGTATTAATTAGAAAACTGGGATTAATTTTAAATAAGAAACTGGAAAGAAAACCATCCGACCAAAAGCAATGCGAAATTAGAACAGTTCTTTTAGTTATTCTGTTTTCCTTTTCAGTTAGTTTTGCCATCGAGCGCCTTCTCGTACAGGAAAGCAATTACGAATCTCTTGAAACGTTAAAACTGTATAAGTCAACAGGGGAGGAG